TTCATACCATATTTGGAACATTCACAAAAGTTTACAATGGACTAGGTCACAAAGAAAGCTTCAATATAAATTTCAAAGAGTTGATACCATACAGATGTTTTTGTCCATATTGTAATAAAATTAGGTATCAGTAACATCAGAATACCTTGAAAAATCACAAATATCTGCAAACTAAAACACACATCATTTGAATAATTTTGGACTAAAGAGAAATGTCCAAGTTAAGAAATACTAAGAACTTACTTAATGACACTGATAAATGCTACATCTTATAGGAGGTAGAGCTAAAGCAGGGCTTGTAGGGAAATTTTGGAGAATACTATTTTTTTTTGCTATGGGGATCGAACTCAGGACCTTGTGCTTGCAGGGCAGGCGTGGTGCCACTGAGCTAAATCCCCAGCCCTGGAGAACACTTTCGGTATTTGGATTGGAAATACTTTGCAACCAAATTCTCAAAACATAAAAGGTAAATATGAATGAATTTGGCTCTAACAAAATGAAGAATTTCTATGCCATGAAGAACATAGATAAAATCAATCAAACATAAAAAATACAATATCACTAATATTTATAACATACAAGAAAATACTGATTATCCATAGAAAGAATACAGATAATTCCAAAAGAAAAACAAAGAAGAATATTCATAGGCTATTCACAGAAAGGGAATCTCAAATGACTAAGAAGTACAGGAAGAGGTATTCAAACTCATTAATAAGAGAAATATAAATAGAATTGAACATAATTAGCATGTTACATGCATCAGGTTGGCAGCAGGCAGAAAGATGACCATGCCAAACACTGCTGAGTATGAGACAAATAGAAATCTATCTGTCCAGCAAGTGAGGGTGTCGATAGATTTAGCAATCAGCCAGTGCTTAGTGAACTGGAAGTGGGATTTCTGGTGTGCTTCGGCCTGTGACCCAGAAATCCCACCCCCAGGGTGTAAATCCCAGCCAAGGCCTCCCTTAGTTGCATAAGTGAATATTCATGAATATTCATGGCAGCACTGTTGTGGCAGCAGAGAGCTGGGGACAATGTCCACTGCTAGGAGAGGGACAGGCAAAATGGGCGACCTGCATTCTATGAAGCACTCGGCAGAGGCCGGAAACAAGCAGCTCAAGTGCAGGCAAGAGTTGAGTAGAAAACAAGTAAGAAACAGCACGAGATAGGTATGAGTTTATATAAACCTAAACCACATGCATACTAAATACTATTTATTCATATATCCACAGTCAAAGACATAAACCACCATTCAAATAGATATCTATGCCGTGTGGGGGGAAGAGAGTGAGGGTGAAAATAAAGAGATGGAGGGGCTGGGGATTTAGCTCAGTGGTGCTGCCTCCTGTCTTGCAAGTGCAAGGGCCTGAGTTCGATCCCTGGTATTAAAAAAAGAGAGAGAGAAGAAGGAAAATGTTTATTGAAAAAGGGAGACCGAAGAGCTTGTGCGGATGGATGAACTCTGGACTTGCAGATACCCCAGTCAAAATAAATGAACAAGGAAGAACTGATCACACACACACACACACACACGCACAGACACACACGCACACACACACGCTCACACACACACACACACACACACGCTCACAAAATCTCCCTTCACCCTTGTATATTTTTTTATGGCTTCAGCCAAGGTTGGTCCTTCCCATTTTCCATCCAGATGGAAGCGTTAGGTGTGTTCACTTGGGGTTCTTTCTTAATACGTTTCTTGGAATGGTCCTATAGGTTTTCTGCGTTCTCTTGAGAATCAACCTATGCACGTAGTCTGGCTATGATGGTGAACTGAATTCTGGCTTTGGCTAATCGCAGTCATGCAGGCCAGCGAGGATTCTGTCTCTTCTAGAATGGACCTTTTTCTGCCATCTTCCCCTCACTGTTCCATCTTTCCACACAGCATGGGCATACTCTGTCACCCAAGCAGTCCGGGGAACTGGCATAGGGTTGGGGACCTTTGGGTAGGGATGAATGTGCTACCTACCCAAGACCCATGGCCTTCTCTTTATATCCTTTCCAGCCTGTTTTACTTGGTGAGTGTAGAGCAGGTGGGGAGTAAAGAACAATTGTCTTATCACCGCAGATTCAGATATACCTAAGATCTTTCTCCTTTGAGGCCCTGATCATCAAATCAATCTATTGAGCCCTTTCAGACCAGAGCAGTGGAGGGGTGGGGGCAGAAAGCAGGGAGGGAGGAAAGGAAGGGTGTAGAGGCAGCAGGTAGGAAGAGAGTGCACGCAGAATGTCAGCCAAGGGAGCAGCGATTGGGAATCTAGGGCCCTGGGTAGATGAGACAGTACTGACGTCAAGTGGAAAGTGTCATGGATGCAGGTCTCTGACGTGACTGGGCTTCTCTGTTACTGCTAGACCACAGTCTTGAGAGAAGCCCCAAGGAGACAGAGACCCAAGGAGAAGCCACGGCTATCTAAAGACAAACTACTGGCAAAGAACCTCCAGCCACCATGTATATAGGGTTCTAAAGGTGAAACTTACTGTGCAAATGACAATTTGATCCGTGCTTGGACTTCTATCCACTCTTCCTTTACAATCCTTCCACACTGTAGCAGCTCCCTTGAAAGTCTCTCTGCTTTCACCAAATTCTCTGATGCTTCCTTAAATCTGAATTGTGCTCAGGAAATGATCTACTTGGCTCCAGGTTCTGGGACCCCAGGTCTTGGACTTTCTTGGCTTTCACACTATCACCCTTCCTCAGTCATCTATCAGTGTTTTATTCACCCCGAGAATTGAATGTGTTATGTGAGCAACACTTCTCTTTGTAGAGGTCAGAGACAAAAGGATACTTCTGAAGGGAAAGGAAGGCTCTCCCCAAGGTATGGAAAAGCTCTACAGAGCACTTGAAGACATCTGTATTGTCATCATAAGGAGGCACGATGAAGTCCGTGAGGATCTCTTTGGCCTTTTCTGCGTGTTGTTTTGCTTGCAGTGAAAATCCTATGGACAAAAAAAATGAAGTCTCAGTTTCTTTTTAATCTCAGATGGACAAGAACATAGTTCTCTCTAGTCAAGGGATCCCACAAGGCTTCCGCATACTGTCCAGTAGCTCATGAACATATACCTGGGCAGCAGGAACACTGTCATGACTGTAACAATTACAATGTTGTTTCATACTGATTACTCAAGATGAAAATGTTCCCCAAATGGCTTTCTGAGAAATAAAGAGAACAAAGTGGAACTGAACACCTTCGAAACCTTACCAATATTTATAAAAAACAAATGGGAAAAAAAATAAATAAAATAAATTAAAAAAAACAAACAAATGGGAATACAAGAGTTGCGTTCAGGGCAGGAAGTAAGAGACTCATGAATCTTAATCCTGGCTTTGTGACAGCAATCTTAATGAAATACTCAAAATTCTGTATCTTCTCCCCACTCATCTATGATCATAGTTACGTTAACATAATACTAACATGATGGTATCTATAAAAGCTACTCAGGACTAATTTTCAGAGTGCTCTAGTGTTCTTCTGTGGGCTTATCAGACTATGGAAAGTGTGACACTGATGATGACCAGCAAGGAATCAATGCCTTGTGCTTCCCCACACTCATGCCTCCCACTGATAGTCCCTTCCATTTACACCATACACCCGGGTACTATGTTCTGAATGATATGGACTTGTATCTGGAATCTCTGAAAAGGTGTCAAAATATGAAGTTAATTCTGCTTTCTACGAAGCAGAAACAATATACTTTCTAATAGGAAAAATCCAGGCTATGCTGTTTGTATGTGGGAACTCAGTGTTTTATTTTTCTAAAAAGCACATACTTCATCAGCCTACCTGCAACTTACTAGTGCCAATTGTGCCTGTGGTCTAACAAAAGGCACGGGGGCTGCTCATCCAACTATGGTCTCTTCCTTTAAGAACTTGAACTCAGTGTTCTGGGCATGGCTAGGTTGAGGCTCAAGAATATCAGCTCTGAAGTCAGACTGCCTGGGATGAACTCCCTGCTTAGCCACTGGCTAGGAAACATTGGCCTCAGTTTCCTCAAGTGTAAACAGGGATAGTGATAATACCTACCTCAGTTTGTGGTGAAGACTGAACAGGGCTATGCATGGAAAAGAGCATGGTGCCCTTCCTCAGGTGCCCATAGTAAGCAGTGCATATGCCTTTTACTCTAAATTTTTTCTTCCAGAAAAGGAGTGAGCTGCAGAAGGAGAACATTACTTGCAATCCCAGATGGCAGGACACTGGTATTGGCAAGTGAATTTCCAGGTCTGAGTCTCAGGTCAGCCACTTAACAGTGCAATCGGAGGCAAGCTGCTTTAACTCAGATTTGGAGGGGTAAAATGAGATGATCACCACATGTCCCCTGGCTCCAGTGATCCTTGATCTAACAGGTGAGACCAGTCTACAGCAAGAGTTGACCAAAGTTATTGGACGACAATGATACACTTGGCATGGTGGTGTTTTCCACCATGTTTTGATTTACTCACTGGACCAACCCTGGGAAGTTAATATCCACAACATCCTTTAGTGTCACTTTTCAGTTGAAGGAGCTGAGTGTAGAGATGTCCTCTTGTGTATAATCCTGTCCTGGGCTGCACATTGAGTGGGTAGAAAACATCATGCCTGGCTACCTGCTGTTTCTACCTTGCCTGCACCCATGTACTCTCCCTTCTCCTGCTTTCCTTCTGGGGTGCTGGGCCCCTGCACATGCAACCCACATAATGCAAGCAAAGGCAGCTTCTTCCCCAGCACCAACTGGAGCCAGAAGTCAGGTCTAGCCAATGAGACGGTTCCTGGTCTCTGGCATAAAACCCAAATCACACCAAGCTGATCCGACTAGGATGCCCCAAATCTTGGGATATTTTATCGGTAGGGCATTTTGTCTCCTGAGAATACTCAGAAGGGAGACATAAAGCTGCTGGTAGCCATGATGCCACCATGTGGGCAAAACTTGGCTAAGAATAGAGCCAATACCAAGAAAAACAGCCAAGTAGTGAGAAAAGGGAGAAACTGAATCCTGGTCACATTGTTTGAACATCAGGTATGGCTAAGTCTAAAGGAAGTTTTACCCTTGAATTTTTAAATTGTTTGGGCCAATGCATTTTTAGTCATGCCAGTTTTGGTTAACTTTTTGTTATTGTTTTTGTTACTTACATCAAGAGACTCTTCACCAAGAAAACTGTGAATGGAGTCCATTCTAAGGCCCTACTTTATGTCTTTGGTTCTTTCTGTAACACCTTCTGACCTAACAGATTAATCATCTCCTAAGAACCCTAAAGTTAAGATCATAAAAAGACAAACCCAGAAGGGCAATCTTCCTTCTTTTTCCCCTTTGAATATTTATATGTTGGATACCTTATTGAGTCTTTCTAAAAGGAAATGGCTTCTCTATACTTGGAAAGGAGAATACCTAAAAAACTGATCCTTCCAATTAAGTGGGAATCAAATTTGAAAGAACAGCAGAAACCGAGCCTGCTACAGACAGGCAGGTCTGCGCATGCCCTACCGAGGTCCCGAGTCATGCGGAACATGCCCAATCAGCCTGCTGCAGACAGGCAGGTCTGCGCACGCCCTGCCGAGGTCCCGAGTCAAGTAGAACACGGCGAATCAGCCCGCACCCCTGCAACAATGCACTGGACCGCCCCCCC